CTATTTTTGTTGTTGGCACCCCTCCTTGTTTGGGCCCAGCTAGTTTTCAACGTGTTTGGGTTGCTGCTTGCACCCCTGTTTTTATTTTTTATTTTTATTTTCTTTTTGTTTTTGATTTGTTTCTGTTTTGGTGTATTTTATTTGACCCTCGACAATCCTCATTCACAATGGAACACCCTTGTGAATCAATTTCTTTGGTGGTGTTGTGAATTGATTTTGATTGTGATCTTTTGGCCTCTGTTTGCCAACATGTTTAAGTACCTTGTGCATTTTATTTGATCATTTTCCTAATTTTGAGGTAACTTGCAAGTCAAGTTACCTACAAGGGAGGTTCATACATGCACCTTGACCTAGTTTGACTTGGATATGACATTTTTGGATCCTTTGAGCTCTCAATGCCTTTGGTTTCATGTTTCTAAAATGTTAAGGATGATGTTTGTTCAATTTTAGGTCATGACATTGTTTCTTCCTTGTTCATTTGTTTGTTTTCTTTTGTGCTTTCTATTAAGGTTTCAATGTGAAGTATGCTTGCATTCCTTTGTGTTCTAGCTTGCATTTCCTTTTGGTGTGTTTTTCTTTTGCTTTTGAGATTTCTTCTTCATCTTTACCTTCTGTCCAATGACTTTGGAACCTCATTTAAGGTATCTTAGTCCCTCCTGAGGAGGTACTTGAAGTATACCTAAAATGATGGATCCTTGAGGACTCTCTTGTGCTTCTTTTGCACTTTGGTTGTGATGCTTATGGTTGAGTCCATATTATGAGGTCCTTGCTGCCCTCATTTGGTCTCTCATCCTCACTTGGTTTTAGGCTTTCTTTACCTTTCATTTGTGTTTGATTTTTGCATCTTGGTTGATGTTGTTTGGTTTAGGCCATTTCATCCCATTTTTGGTGCATTTTTTGTGGTTTGTTCTTGTTTGTTTGGTTCCTTCTTGTGCATTTCTTCTCCTCTTTTCTTCTTTGTTTTGTCATATGCATGCTTGGTTGAGATGAGCTTGTGGAGGCTACTGCCCCACACTATTTTCCTCCCATTATCATTCTACTTGTGCATCTTATGTTTGCATTTTCATTTGCATGTTCTTTCTTCTTCTTCTGTTGCTTTTCTTTGCCATGTTCCCCATAAGTTCTCTAACCTCTTGAGGTTATGATAGACATTAGGTTCTTAACCATGCATGATAACATTAGGTAGTTCCCTTTTGTATCCCAACTTTAAGTCCACTTTGCATGATATCTTAGGATTGGTTAGTCTCCCATTAGTGTCCTTTCTTCTCTTCTCATCTTCAAACATTCATAAAAACTTAATAAAGAATGACAAATGTTGTACGCTACAAGCCTTAAGCTATTTGGGAAATGATGATTGGGTGGTTACCTCTCAATTGTCTAGAATGTTAGTATATGTCCTTTGGACGATATGCGACGCATTCGCTCCTGAGTCATAGTCTTTAGTGCAACATGAGTTACAAATCCAGTTCAAAACACTTCTTCTCTAAAAAACACAAAAACACTTCAAACCTTTTTTTATCCTTCTGAATTCTAATCAGGAAAATCTTTTCAGATAAAAGAGTGTTGTTAACTTTTAGTTCTATCGCAAACGGTAACGCCTAAGTCTCCAATGGTCGAGCTGCATACACCAACTGCTAGAACTGATTGTTAACCTTACTCGGGCCTAAATAACTTTTGAACCAGTTGTGGTTCTTTTAGTCCGAACTACATTAGCTCTGATCTCTCATACCTGTTGAGAGTACGTAGGCACAAGACGCGACGTCTTGGCGAGCAACCTTTCCCCTTTCACCCGTAGTTAGTCGAACTACGTTGACTCTGACTTTCCCATTACACGAGGGAGTACATAGGCACAGAGCGGCGATGCTCTGCCGAGTCATCTCTCTTTTATTTTTCTTTTGTCCCTCGACCTTTAGCTAGATAGATTGATCATCCTTTTAGATAGATAACAATGCGTGGATCCTGTCGAGTACGACGGACGTGAGGGGTGCTCATACCTTCCCCTTGCGTAACCGACTCCCGAATCTAGACATGGTTGCGATGACCTTGTCTTTCCCTCTTTCGCCAAGTTTTTCCGATCGTTTCCTTTCCCTCTCTTTTGGATATATAACAAAAGGTGGCGACTCTTCTGTTTTTCGCCGGGTGTTTTTCGCAGTTGCGACACTTGGCACCAAAACTTGGGAAATAAACATGTAAATAAGTATATGTGTCCACTCTTTATGGCATAGAGCTTCGCATGAGCCTTTTCGTTGAGAGGATTAACTAAAAATAATTGATCTTCAAAATATTTCACGCCATCAAAATACACTTCAAAGTGACGAGTAACGTGCATCAGTGTAATTAAGCATTGACTCTGCATAGAATTCGTTGAGCTATGTTGTACCATGAAAATACGAAAGAAGAGTGACAAGGATGACTTTCTTCCCTGATAGTCACACCAACATTGGAAACATTAATGTAGGCCAACCTCACAGGGTTAAATTGTAAGTGGGAAATCATCATATGGTTAAGAACTTTAAATTTGAAACCATTAAAAGGAAATCTGAGACCTAAAATTGAAAAGGAACACTCTTAAAAAGGGAAGACACTTCCTTTGTATTTTCTACAAATTGTCTTGTCTTCTTCAGGGATCAGTACGCCCTAGTGAGAAGAATGATCCACTTCAAAAAAATATTTTTAGAGACTACCTTCGCAAGCAAAGATGGAAAGGATTTGCAAAATTACAGGGTCTACCCAAGTAATAGAAATATCCTCCTTCACTTTTTGATGCATGATAGGTACCACTTCCATCAGTTAATAAAAATAGTATGTTATGAGAATGAATATGGCAAAATAACAAGGGTAATGAAAAAATAAATTGTATAACTATCCTAAAAATATTGTGCAATGTCTCAGTGAAATAAAGGAAATAAGAACTATCAATGATGCATATTCCCTCAGAAAGATACTTGAGTACTCTAGTTCTCAAAGGTCATCATGATAAAACAAGTGAAAATACATCTAAAGCATGATGCACATTTAAGGCACGAATTCCCCATGACAACAACGTCATATCGTGAGTTTTCATACCAACCGAGCAACGGTCAACATAAGAAGACAAACACAATAAAGCCCCCATCCTACAGAGCAGAGGAATGGACTTTTGGGGGAACATGTTACTCTCATACTAACTTTGACGTTGAAATTCAAATTCCATTTACCCCTCTTTCACCATATCGGAAGCTCAAATCCACCGTTCTAATTCACATTTGTTAGTCATCAGTCAATTCTAGTTCCCTCGCGAAACACTTTCCAAACTAGAACCGCATGGAACATGTCAATGATGTTGTAAATCTATCGCGTGGAACATGTAAATGATGTTGTAATATGTTTAGTTTAAATTGTGTGTTATGTTTTATTTGAACTTTATAGAGAAAAATACATTGTTTTGGATTTGTGTATTTTAACAATGATTTCTTTATTTGATTATGCCTGGGTTCCGGGGGGGTCACCAGGGTCAGGGCATGCCTCAAGGCTCAAAGAGCATTTAAAGAGGTACTTACATATTACCCATCAAGAATGTCCTCACATCGACAGTGGGAGTTAAACCCACGGCCTATTAGTGTGTGAGCCAACTCTTTGCCAACTGAACCAACCTTCCTTGGCAACTCATTAACTTTTTATTTATAGTTGTTTTGTCAATTTATTCTAAATTTTCAAATACACCTTGGATTAGGTTAGAAGAACACTTTAAAAGGGGTCTAAGTGGACATGTAGAGAGTATCAAGAGGTTTTGAAAGTGTGCGTGCATTAGGGTATGGTGTAGGAGAGGTAAATGCAGAGGGTAAATTCATCAGAGTTTTCATTAGATATTGATATTACTATAACTAATTACTATAAGAAAGGATATGCACATATTATTACATATAAAGAGTGGGGTGACATGTTCTTAGATAGATTCCTTTCTTATTAGAAAGTCAAATAGTAAGGTTTTCTTGGACAAAGTTTTGGAGGGAAGATTCCAACAACCACTGGAAAATGTAAATGATATATGGAACAAGATAACATAATAGATTAGAAAAATAGTTAGTGACTATGAAAGTTATAAAGTCTTGGTTCTTCAACCTTAAGGCTCAATTAATTTTTTTTAAATTAATAATTAGCTCATTTTTAAGGTTTTGTCCATAAATTAAAAATGTAATATATATATATTACATTGAAGTTACTCCTTCATAACTAGTGCATAGTAAATAAAATTTGTTTAAAAATTTATATATATATATATATATATATATATATATATATATATATATATATATATATATATATATATAGAGAGAGAGAGAGAGAGAGAGAGAGAGAGAGAGAGAGAGAGAGAGAGAGAGAGAGAGAGAGAGAGAGAGAGAGAGAGAGAGAGAGAGAGAGAGAGAGAGAGAGAGAGAGAGAGAAAAAATATATTTAATATTAATTAGAGATTAAAAAGTACGAATAATATTTATTTTTAATATATATATATATATATATATATATATATATATATATATATATATATATATATATATATATATATATATATATATATATATATATATATATATATATATATATATATATATATATATATATATATATATATATATATATATATATATATATATATATATATATATAAAATATATTTAATATTAATTAGAGATTAAAAAGTACGAATAATATTTATTTTTAAACAAATTTTACTATGCACTGGTTATGAAGGAGTAACTTCAATGGAATATAGTCATTGTTAATTTGTCATGAAAGAGAGACAAGTGCCTAGTGGAAATAATTGACAGAGAAGTGTGCTGTCTTGTGTCTGCTTACAATAATAATACACAACAAAGCTGAAAAACAAGCAGTTGTTATTCTACTAACATACAACAAGCTGAAACATGTTGCTACTGGCAACAAATGCTACAAATCACACAATAAGAAACTACACTTCGATCTTAGCTTAAAGACCATGAACATGAAAATCACACACAATGTTATTCAAAGAGCTTTTCTGCAGATTTAGTGAACAGGTTCTTAGCCTGCTTCAAAGAGAGACCAATCTTCTCCAAGTCACTTAACTGCAAAATTCCACACAATCATCTTGATAAATGTGTCTGTCTTATAAGTTAGGAATGATTTTTAACACTAACCGATTTTAGTGGACTTTCTTCTCTGAGTTCTATTATGTATTCTGCCCTTTTCTCTCCTATGCCCTGAAGAGAATATAAAATGATTGAATCCAGAATATTAGAAAATGAAGAAAAATTATGTCACATTTTGATTTGAGAAAACTATTAACTGTACTTTTTATTACAAAATTGTTTTCACTTTTGAGAAAATCATTATCACTTTTGAGAAAACTAAAGATCGGTGCAGTAATAACGTATAAAGGAAAACTGTGAGATAAAGAGGCTATTGATAATGGACCACTTATTTGGCAACCCTGCATATGTATGTACCTTTAGCTCTAGTAGTTCCTCTCTGCATTTAAGCATTATAAACAGTGGGTTAAGGCACTTCGAAAGATGGTTTCACTAAGTATGCTTTAGAAATTATGCAAAAAATATAGGGCGAGTGTTTGCGTTACCTGCTTGCATTATTTAACAAATCAATGTATTCTTGAACTAGACAGGTCTGCATATTGAAAAAAATTGATGTGAGAAATGAGATTCACAAAATCCATTGGTTAACGAAGTTAAAACAACTATCTGTACCTTTATTGCAGAACTTCGCGCACTGAATTTGTCAAGTGGAGTTCCATTTTGCTGCAATCCATTGTTAATAGAGCAGGTTGCAGAAAAAGGCGTTTGTGTCAAAGTACCATTGGTGAGGGCTTCTCTTAATGGACTTTGAGGTACAGCATCTTTACTCACATTCGTAATTTGCGAGTTCACCCCTTTGCTTAATGGCTCAACTGCATACAAAAACAAGAGCTTTAGAAAGCACGGTTCAATTATAATTTTCCTGCTACCGAGTAGTAATCAATGCGCCATGCAAAATATCTAGAATTTCCTTGTTATATTGGGACCAAATTGTCTATAATAATCCATTTGCATCATAATGTCGATTAAATGTAAAAACAAGAATCACACAGAAGTGAAAGTGACATACCGGGCAGATCTGGATGTGTCTCCCACGCAGCCTTATTGACCTCATGCTCAATCTCTTTCCTACCATTGTCCTGTATATCACTAAATATTAATATATTCAAGAAAAATGCAACTATTCACAATGCATCAAAAGTTTAATATTCATGAGGACAAGAACTGTTTCCGTATGTGTGTACTTTTGATAATGCATGTCTTTTTCAATATTAGTGGTATATCACCTCGAAAGAATCAAAAGCAGCTTCCTCATCTATCAAACTTCTAAAAGAATCAGCAAAGGTCCTGCTGCTTACACAATAAGACAAACATCAGTAACAGAAAGCCGATGAGTTATAATATGCTAGAATAGGAGTAGGACCACTAGTTACCTTTCAGTAGTATTTTGAGCATCTCGGTTGATGGAAGTTCTATCCAACTTCACTGAAGTACAGAAAGTAACTGATTTCTTAGCAGAGGTCATGACGGAACTCGGAGTTCTTTTCAGAATTGGAGATTTAAATGACCTAAGTCTTTGCTGTGAGGTCTTTGCCTTGCCTTTTGATTCTAGCCAAGATCTCAATTTGGCTTCCATGTCAACATTAGCTTTTGGCGTCTCAAGTTTATGTGAAGGTACAAAATTAGAGACATGCCTTGATCGAGCAGCCAAACCAACAGTATTAACAGATTCTTGGTATTCTCCTGGATTCTGAAATTTAGTCTAATTAATGTGAGTCTCATATTGGCTAGAGATATTACATAAGTAATGCTTTTGCGGTTTAATCAGTCATTGTCTTATAAGTTAGTTTAATGAGACTGAATTAGGACTAAAATTCATATTCTAAGATATTATATCTTAAATGTGAACAAATGTGGTTGGAACAACAAATATCCAGATCCAATAACAGATCTAAGATGTCTAGTTGAATGCGGGTAGAATAACAAAAGTCTCAACGCTGATCATAATTAATAAGTGAATCAAACTAAGATGCAACTCAGGCAACTTTAATGGTTTAATAAGTAATCTGCATCTTATTAATCACCCTCTCAGGCTCTTTCTTGCTATTCAGTTAAACCAACATGAAATGAGGAGAAAAGAACTATAAAATTGTCTAGTTTACCAGGCAAGCAACCATCAGCGCACGACTCGTTCCGCCTAGAGAGCCTTGTAATATACGGGTCAATTTGCTTTCTCTATAGGGTATTCTTGGTTGGTTGTTGTTCAACGCATATATCACGTTCGAGAGTGCAAACAAGGACTGATTTATCTTAGCGCTCTCTTGAAGACGCATCCCTTCATTGCAGCTTCTTCTGTTATCTTCATTACCTGCATCAACCTTAAATAAATTACCACTTTCTGTTGCTTGCAATAAATCAAATCCGTTATCCCAATTGAGTGGATGGTAACCTGCCAAGTCGATGAGATTCAGCTTTCCACATACAGATCTTCCTGTCTCATCCGGAGGAGACACTACAGATATCACAAGCACTCCATGACTCCTACTGGATACATCATTGAGGCCTGTATGTGCAACTTTGCGCCTCTGAACACCACTGGCAAAAACATCTAGAAATTCAGACATTGTGTGTACAGGAACTTGAGACAGTCCCCTAAGATGAATTTGACCATCTTGGTCATCCAAAACTGAAATCTCAGTTGCTTTTAACTCTAAGAGGTCGTAACATCGGTCCATGTAGACTTCATAGTATGATAGATGTGCTGTGCTTCCCGTGTTTAGACAAATATAAATGATATTTGACATTGCTAGCGGTATCAAGCCAGGATGTTCCTCAGTTCCCTGCAACACCAAGCATCAGATACTTCAACTACACAACACATACAAGAAATATACTAGATAAATTATTACTTCTCCCAAATTCTATAAAAATCGTGACACGTGCTCTCTTCATTTAGCATAGGCATTAATACCATAAAAGTTTGTATTTTGTAAATTCTGCTACCATAAAAGTTTGTATTTTGTAAATCCGTTGTATTTTGTAAATCCTGCTACCAATTGAGCAGAACCAAATTGTGCATAGCCAACGGATCCAAGCATTAATGCACTAGATAATATTCAATTTATAAATGATATGCCATAATTCCCTTTCATATAACATATACTAACGGAAAAAAATGGACCGGCAAAAATGGACCGTTTACCACCAAACTTCTCTTAACTTACGGTACGGTATTTATAATTGTTAAACATGAAAAATGAAAAATACTACTATTCCTCACCACCCTCTAAACTCTAAACCAGTGTTATCAAATAGTGGCGCATGGCCGCTATGGCGGATATACATAGAGGTTTTTAAGGCTTGCCGCAATGGTAAATATCGGTCGACATTGCAGATTTTTCTGCCATAATCCACTATAACAGCGCCACAACGCAGCCGGTATGGTGGAATTATGGCTCTCCGCCATAGACAACACTGCTCTAAACTTACATTTTCAATCACATACAACAAATTTGAGAAATCTAATGGTGCATTGATTCACTTTTCTGATCCCTCACATAACCACACAACTGTTACTACTTGCTAGAACCTAATTAACAAAAATTACATTTTACAAAAAAATTAATCACACAAAAAAATATAGAATGAAGATCACACACTCTCACCTGCATAGTGTATGTCTTCCCACTTCCAGTAGCCCCATAAGCAAACACAGTTGCATTGCCTCCATTGAAGATATGAGGCATCATGGGGCTTACTTCTCCTTCGAAAATCTGAACAACATTGTCGTCTTCTTGATCAAAGAATGCGTCCAACTGGTAACACTCATTCCGACTAAGATCAAACAATGAAAAAAAAAATCATAAAAAACCAAAACCCAAAGATCTCCTAATCCTAATTCACAAAAAAGGAAGAAAATGAACTTTTTGTAACCTGGTGTAGAGGTCTTTGAGATAAACCGCAACTTCTTGAGATTGAGAATCTTGATCCAAAAGTGAAACACAAGAAACTCGGTTGCTGTTTGACGTGAATTCGTGAGGAAGAAAGGGTCTAACCCTAACTATGACTCTTACTTTGAAATCTGAAATGGGGTTGTTTGAGGGTTTGTTGGGGGTTTTTGGATCGTTGGATGGGTGGCAAAGGGGAGTGGCAGCCATTGATAGAAGAAAGATTGGATTTTTGAGACAGGTTTTCGAGAATTGTGGGGATTGAAGACGAGAGAGTGGAGAGTGGGGGAGGTTTTTGAAAGTAATTGACCGTTGATTTTGGATTTCAATGCACTTTTGGTTTGAATTTAAATGCACTTTATGAATAGGTGCATTTAAATGTATGTTAGGACGCACCAATTTATGAAAAGATGCAATGTCGCAATGTGTTTGGGTTGTCGGTAGTACTTGATACTACTAGTTTTATCTCGGTCAACTCTTTTAATATTAGCTCCGATCACAATTATAAATAAAAGTAATTATTTTTATCTATAACTATATATAAAGAGGATACAACTTTTTGGTATGACCTATTTTTGTTCCTATTTTACCCTTTAAAATTATTTAAAAGTTGTAGAAGTTATACAAATAAAAATTAACTACTCCTCCCATTTTATATTTGAATATTGTACACAAGTGAAATTAATTAGTTATTTGAAGAATTTTTTTTTTAATTTCTCATTAAAAACTCTATTTAAATACGCATACCACAAATTCAAATATCCATAATTATAATTAAAATAATCATAATCTATAACTATCTATAAAAGAAATAGGGAATTTTGCTCTTCTATTTTTTTATTCCCATTTTAACCTTTAAAATAAATATAGTTTATATAATTTTAAAAATAAAATAAAAATAAATATATGCAACTTTTTCAAAAAGGAAACCGTCTAAAGTATATAACTATGAGTGTTGATTTTTTTAAACTATTTTGTTAACTGCAAATTTTTTAAAATTATTATTTATCCTCTAATATTTTATATTTATTTTAATTTTAAAAATATAAGTTATAAGTAAAAAGTGAATTTAAAATATTGAGCAGTTATCATGATGTATTAAAAATATGACTATAAGTGTCAATTTTTCATGTCAAATTATTATTACTATTATAACTTCTATAATATATTTGTACAATTTAGATATCTACGCAGTAATATAGTTATTTTGTTTTATATTTTAATTATTGTCGGGTGAATCCCTATTATAATTAGTTCATATATTGAAATACAAGTATTATAGAAATAAAATAGTCCGCTTGGATAATAAATATAATTAAAGTTCTCTCACATATAATTATTATCCGTGTTCCTATAATCCTAATTAACAACTTATATAAAATAATTTTGGACACAAAATTACCCGTGTAGCAAAACATATAAGAATTCACTTATTAATAGTAATTTTAAAATAGTAATTCACGGATAGGTTATATAAGTACAATATCATAACTATGTCATAATAGATTATTATACTTTAAGGAAGATTAGTAATTTATATGATACTCTATTAGATGTATTATATCTTATATAAGTATATTAGGTATTTAATATAGTAATCTTTAATATGATTAAACTTCTATAATTATTTGTAAATGTGATTGTTTCAAATTTATTATATAATTTTGATGATCTGTTCGGACCTATTAAAGTTAAATAATTTTGGTGTAGTTTTTTTACTTCCAATTTTATTTTTAATAAATTGATTCTTTTACACTATTTTTTTACTGATAGATTAGTAAGTTATTATTCCTCATCTTTAGTAACAAATAATTTATTAATTAAATAAGAAATGATAATAAAAAAGTAGTAGTAACTTCTAAAAATAATTAACTCTTTTATAACTCATTAATCCCACCACTGAATGAAATAGAAGCATATAATAACTTTCGTACTTAATTAAATTAATTAAATAAGAAATAATAATAAAAAAGTAGTAGTAACTTCTAAAAATGATTAACTGCTTTATAACCCACTAATCCCATTATTAAATGACTAGCGTTCAAACGGGCACTCCGTGCCCGTTTGTCCGCTTTTTTTAGGGCGCTAACGTGTGAAAATATTAACAACGTCTTTTTTATAAGTTTAATTTTAATATCAAATATTTATATGATGAAATATATTGTATTTATTTAGATGCATATTATGTTTTATTTGCAATATGTAATATTTGTGTGTTAAATTTTGTTTGAATTGAGAAAATCGCATTATGAGATGACTATATTTAACCGGTTTTTTTCAAGCAAATCAATAATGTGAAAGGAATAATTTGATGGTTATGAATACCGTATTAAAGGAAAAAGAAAATAGATTACACCAAAATTAAGTTTTGTATTTATGTATTGTTATAGATTGTACAAAATCATACCAAGATTTAAATAAAATAAGAAGAAAAAAAAATGTTTTTCACATTTATTAAACTAATAACATAAACATTAACAGAGACATTAAGTGACATTGTTGCTTAGTAGGAAGGTCAACCATGAAATCGAAATAAAAAATATCTCTTGTTTTACTGCAAAACAAATGAAGTAAATTTTAGTAGTAAATAATATAATGTAATACAGTGAGTGCACGTCAAGTGTGACTTTGCAAAAGTATAGTTTATTTTAAAATAATATAGTGTAATATGTCATCCTCTTTATTATCCCTAAAAAAATCAATATGTGGCACAACATGCATAATAGAGCGGTTTTTAAAGTTTGCATTGTTTAGTGCATACCAATTAAATTCTAATAATAATAATACCTCCATCAATAAATTAATTCAAAAACAGTTGAATAACAATCCCTATGTCAATGGTGAAAAATCATCTTGGAAAGGAAAATAATTTGAAATCTAACAATAATATTTTCTACGCATGACTTCTAAATAAGACAAAACCTTGTGGATAATACACCAAAATAATTATAAATGTAACTTAACAAAACCAATCATCAATTAAAATACATACATATGTGTAAATTCATTTTTAACAAACTATAATGAAAAAAATTAATTAATCTATTTTCTATGTATGATCACCAGCAAACACTCTTCAAAATTCTTTAAAAATTGCAAGAAAAAAATCACCATGCAAAGAAGAGTTATATGTGTTAAATTTTCCATAAGTTTTTTTTTAATGGAAGTTAATGATGGTTAAAGAACAAAAATAACCAACGACTCAATTCAGGTTATTTATAATTATAAAAATTAGATTTAACTTAACTAAAATCATCATAAATTTAATATAATGCATATATAGTGTAATTTTGTCCATAAACCATACAATAGAAAAAACATATTGTAGTATTTAGTCATTATCATTGCATAATCACCAACTAATACTTGAAAATAAACATTTTTGAAAATACAAATACAAATTACATAGCTTAGACAGTGATCATTGTATAATCACCGACTATTATTTAGATATAAACTTTTTTTGAAATGCAGAAACAGAAATACAAATTAAACAACTTAGACGATAAAAATATAACATAATAATAAATAAATAAAAGTATCTTCTTCAACCTCCGAAACCATATAAAGTTCTTCCATGTCTCTTAAGAGTATACACAACATCCATGGCAGTCACAACCTTTCTTCTTGCATGATTAGTATATGAAGCAGTATCATGAATAATTTTTGTCAAGAAAACATTAAGAAATAACATAGTTTCTTCATAGATCAAACCACTTATCCTCTTGACACCTCCTCTCCTAACCAATCTACGAATCGATGGCTTTGTAATTCCCCAAATATTGTCGCGCATAATCATCATGTGCCTCTTTGTTCTTCCCTTTCCGAGCTCCTTAATACCCTTTCCACAACTTGTCATTTTTGTAAGAAATTTTGAGAAATTTTTTATTCTTTTGCATTTTGAATGTGAAAAAGTAGAAGATGAAAGGGATATTTATATATCATTTTGAGCGGGAAATGAGGAAACTGCTTATCCTCTATCGTTGGATTTAAAGTAATAGACGGTTTAGATTTGACTGAGATTTTTCAATATTTTAAAGTTATTTTATAATTTATTTTAAAAAATTATTTTTTAAAATAAAATAAAATATTGGTTAATCATATTTTTAAAAATTGCGTTTTAAGAACTCCAATGAATTTTTTTAGGCAATTATAATTCACTTTTTTAAGTATATAATTTATCAAAACTTAGAGTATACGGACTTTATAATCATTATCATTCAGTTTTATTAAGAAAATATTTTGGATAAATTTAGTCATAAATAAAATACATTATAAATCTTTAAAATTAAATCAATTAAATATATAATTAAATATAATAATATTAGTTGAATACGGAAGTTGTTATATGCTTCTATTTCATCATTTAATAATGGGATTAGTGGGTTATAAAGCAGTTAATCATTTTTAGAAGTTACTACTACTTTTTTATTATTATTTCTTATTTAATTAATTTAATTAAGTACGAAAGTTATTATATGCTTCTATTTCATTCAGTAGTGGGATTAATGAGTTATAAAACAGTTAATTATTTTTAGAAGTTACTACTACTTTTTTATTATCATTTCTTATTTAATTAATAAATTATTTGTTACTAAAGATGAGGAATAATAACTTACTAATCTATCAGTAAAAAAATAGTGTAAAAGAATCAATTTATTAAAAATAAAATTGGAAGTAAAAAAACTACACCAAAATTATTTAACTTTAATAGGTCCGAACAGATCATCAAAATTATATAATAAATTTGAAACAATCACATTTACAAATAATTATAGAAGTTTAATCATATTAAAGATTACTATATTAAATACCTAATATACTTATATAAGATATAATACATCTAATAGAGTATCATATAAATTACTAATCTTTCTTAAAGTATAATAATCTATTATGACATAGTTATGATATTGTACTTATATAACCTATCCGTGAATTACTATTTTAAAATTACTATTAATAAGTGAATTCTTATATGTTTTGCTACACGGGTAATTTTGTGTCCAAAATTATTTTATATAAGTTGTTAATTAGGATTATAGGAACACGGATAATAATTATATGTGAGAGAACTTTAATTATATTTATTATCCAAGCGGACTATTTTATTTCTATAATACTTGTATTTCAATATATGAACTAATTATAATAGGGATTCACCAGACAATAATTAAAATATAAAACAAAATAACTATATTACTGCGTAG